AAGAAACTGCAAGAAACCCCTCTCGTTGGGTGCCCTAGAGTACACTATGAAAGGAGGAGCTTAGGACATTGGTGAAATTCCAACAGTCACTTAAAACAACGGATACCGCCCCACTCTCCATAAAGGTGGCAGCAAAGCGATAGCACGGAACAAAAGACCAAAACTCTGACGTCTCACATCATCAAAATCTTTGAAAGATTGCTAAGAGCAGGATTGCAAAATCACCAGGATTCCCAAAATCCGCACAATCCAGGGCACATTGGTTCAGGGCAGGTCCTCTGATCACTCACACTACTGGAACACAATGATAAGGCCTTGGATGCACTGGAAGAAAATCAGAAATGCAGAAGTAATATACACAACCTTTGCAAAAGCTTGTGACCAAATGCGATCAATGGCGTAATAGCCAATAAAATCCGTGCTAAAGGAATAACTGGAAAGAGGGGAGATGGATCTCAACTTCCTAACAAATCGAACACAAAAGTATTGGTCAACAGAGTTAAATCGAAGGCAGGCCAAATAGAAAGCTCTGATCCACAAAGGCACAGTACTCCGCCCCCAATCTTAATTCCTCATCCTCATATTCAGACACAGACAGAGATATACAATCACAGCACAGTATCATCCTTTGCGAATATACTAGGATCCTGCCTGAGGCAGACATCTGCTGAGACGCGGGTTAACCTCCAAGAAGATATAAACAAAAGTTATGCCAGTGGGTAACTGTGAACAACATGATGTTCAAAATAGGACACATTCCACACTACTCCATATGGAAAACTGAGGAGATAACAAACAGAGTAACTACAATTTTGGCCAACAATAGAGCGGAAAAATAATGTAAGGGACCGGGGAGTAGTAATGTCTGGGGACCACTTTCAAGGATCACAACATGCCACATCGCACTGCAAAAAAAATGATAGGAGGAAATGAGAACTTTCAAAACAGAGATGCCAAGCCAGTGATGATCCTTTTAAAATCACTTTTTCAACTAGGCTGGAATACTTCTGTACACAACACTCCATTCAAAGCAGGTAAATCGCAGTCAGAGAGTGTACAAGATCCTTTATGCACTATAATTCTGTCAAACCCCTTTAACTACTGGAACGCTTGGAAGCACTTGACTTGTACCGTTGGAACGCGGAAAGGGAAAGGATAATCAAATCTACACTTGGAAATCCTGAAGGAAGCCCAAAAATCTGCACACAGAAATCACTCCCTACAAAAGTAAAAGACTGGGCAGGCATGAAAAATCCCCCCAAAAAAAGGGGGGCGCCATGGTACACAAAGGGGAAAAACACAAAAGTGCCCGGGGGCCCCAAGACGTTAAACAGCCTCCCATCAACTTTGGGGGAAATTGCCAATAAACCCTGGCTGCCTTCAAGAGAGAGCGGGACAATACCTTAAGTCATCTGGCACCGGGCTGGGCTCGTACTTGGACTTGTGCGCCACATAACAGCCTAGTTGATCAGGCAGATCCATGGGGAGGCCTGGTCAGGCCGGGGCCGGGGGGGCTTGACCCCGAAAACCCTCCGGGTAAGGCAGCCGGGATTGGGGGATAAAGAAGAAATGTTAAAAGCAGGTGGGGATATAGTTTTGGAGTGTTGGTGAAATTATTTAAAAAGGGGTTGAAGAGGGTAAGGTACCTAGGGATTGGCAGAGAGCATGCATAGTTCCTTTGTATAAAGGCAAAGGGGACAAAAGAGAGTGCAAAAATTATAGGGGAATAAGTCTGTTGAGTATACCTGGTAAAGTGTATGGTAGAGTTATTATTGAAAGAATTAAGAGTACGACGGAGAATAGGATAGCAGATGAACAAGGAGGCTTTAGGAAAGGTAGGGGGTGTGTGGACCAGGTGTTTACAGTGAAACACATAAGTGAACAGTATTTAGATAAGGCTAAAGAGGTCTTTGTGGTATTTATGGATTTGGAAAAGGCGTATGACAGGGTGGATAGGGGGGCAATGTGGCAGATGTTGCAGGTGTATGGTGTAGGAGGTAGGTTACTGAAAATACTGAAAAGTTTTTACGAGGATAGTGAGGCTTAAGTTAGAGTATGTAGGAAGGAGGGAAATTATTTCCCAGTAAAAGTAGGCCTTAGACAGGGATGTGTGATGTCACCGTGTTTGTTTAATATATTTATAGATGGGGTTGTAAGAGAAGTAAATGCGAGGGTCTTGACAAGAGGCGTGGAGTTAAAAGATAAAGAATCACACATAAAGTGGGAGTTGTCACAGTTGCTCTTTGCTGATGACACTGTGCTCTTGGGAGATTCTGAAGACAAGTTGCAGAGGTTGGTGGATGAATTTGGTAGGGTGTGCAAAAGAAGAAAATTAAGAGTGAATACAGGAAAGAGTAAGGTTATGAGGATAAAAAGATTAGGTGATGAAAGATTGGATATCAGATTGGAGGGAGAGAGTATGGAGGAGGTGAATGTATTCAGATATTTGGGAGTGGACGTGTCAGCGGATGGGTCTATGAAGGATGAGGTGAATCATAGAATTGATGAGGGGAAGAGGGTGAGTGGTGCACCAACATATTTTTAGTTGAATAAGGCTGGTTGCCCTTTTTTGGATTATGAAAAGTGTTCCTAGCAACTTTAAAAGATTTATCAATTACATTTCTTGGGTATTTTAAATCATTACCTATTTCATAAATTTTGGATATTTCCTCATCTATGAGCTCAGGACTACAAATTCGTAAAGCTCTCAAAAACATTGATGAGAAAACAGACAGTTTGACTCTATCTTGATGCGAGGAACACTTTTCATAATCCAAAAAAGGGCAACCAGCCTTATTCAACTAAAAATATGTTGGTTCTCCCTTACCATGAAAACTTGGTTGATATGCCTTCTCTTCTTAAGACTTTTAATATTAAAGTTGTATTCAAAAATCTTGATACAGTAAAAAAAACTTTTGATTAAGAATTCCCCCCAAAATGCTGATGGATGTGTCTATAAGATTCCTTGTAAAATTTGCGATAAAGTTTATTACGGTCAAACTGGTAAAAATCTCGAACTAAGATTAAAACAACATAAATATAGCATTAGAACTGGACAAGATTCTAATGCTCTATTTAAATTCATGTAAGAGATTTTAACCATCCAATGATTTTAAAAAAGTTGAGAAAGTAGTATCAAGCAAGTCCAGGGTCGACGGGAATATAATTGAAATCTTGTTTCATAAAAAGCAGTTTTGACAATAATATGAAATTTCCTTTGGTTTATATAAATTTGATCCATTTAAAATTTAAAATAGAATTTGGGAAGAATTTAATAATACACTGGACAAATAAATAGCTGGGGTGAGTTTTGCAAAGGACCTATCCAAGTTGGCTCGCCGCGCGTCACGTGTTTTAACCGTTGTGGGATCTGATAGTGAGGTGCTGGCCGACCCCTTATATAGCTTCCTTGGATGCTTCACTTTCATATTCCTTGATAATGTGAGTAGTCACGAAAGCGCTTGGAATTTCTCTATTCTTCAGAGTGGTTTGTTTTGCATATTTTGAAATCACCTGTTTACTGTGATCTTATTGCATATATATATATATATAATATATAATATATATATATATATATATATATATATATATATATATATATATATATATATATATATATCTGTCTTGAGGATTAAATGTGTGCATCAAACTTCTCTCAGAATATTAAATTAATCAAGGCAGAGAGGTGTCAGTAAGGTGGTTATCACCAGAACTGACAGTGTTGCTGCCATACACTTCTTAATTGAATTCTCCTTTTCTTCCTTCACGAATCACGGGTTTTCATTACACTGGTCGCAGGAATAAACTGAGGCTGGACAAATGGCATGTATCTTAGCGAATCGGTAATTCTACCAACATATATACAATCAGGAAGGACAATGTGTTGGGAGTGGGATCAGCTAGTGTGTAATTATATCTCAAATGGTTTTGATGGGTAGGGAATCCTTTAATGTCATCAACTGTACATAATTGTGTTTTCCATAAGTTGAATGGTTCAAATTCTTTCAACTTGCACCACCATCAACTATGAAATACAGAGGGAGTAAGTGTAGTAGTGAAATGAAGATGTAGTCAATCCATCAACCTTGGAGAAATAGTATTTGAGGTGGTCAGTTCCTCAGCTGAGGGACTGACCACCTGCTACCTCTGTATTTGACTAAAGAAGCCTACTGTGTAGGCGAAACGTTTCAACAATAAAGATACCCAAGTGTTACACATGTGTCTTAATCATCAAGGGAAGGTGACACTAGACACTGTACCAACACAAGAACAGTCACAACACAGTACCACTCGTGCATTTATAGGCAAGAAAAGAAACCTGAAAGTATTATGACTAACTGTGTTTTCCCAAGTAACTTAATGCAGCAGTGTATTGTTCTGAAAGAAGCCATTCATTATTGTAAACATTGTTAACGAGGGCCCTACAAGGCTTCAGTGCAAAGCTCCTGATGGTGGCTCTCATCCGCAAGTGTGTATATATATATATGGTATTATTATTATTACTATTATTTCCTTCCTTTCACGGATTTCTCCAGCAGCTTTTTATTCCCCCTTTACAGTTCCCTTCATCTTGTTCCACCAATGGAAATAAAGACCCCGAATGGAAATAACAAGGACCCCAGTGGAAATAACAAGGACCCCAATGGAAATAAAGACCCCAGTGGAAATAACAATGACCCCAATGGAAATAACGAGGACCCCAATGGAAATAACAAGGACCCCAATGGAAATAAGGACCCCAATGGAAAAAACGAGGACCCCAATGGAAATAACAGGCACCCCAGTGGAAATAACAAGGACCCAATGGAAATAAGGACCCCAATGGAAATAAGCCTTTTTGAGTTTTGGGGTATAGTAAGTAATTTACACATCTGTTACTATGTATTATAATTGTATATATGTGTACCTGTACCTGTACTTATACTCAATTCACTCACAGGATGAGTAGGCTACCCACTGAACTCGTCCCTCGAGACAAAATCTATAAATTTAACTCTTACCTTTATTTCCTTGTCCATGGCTCCTTTATTAGCTCTGGTTTTCTTCTTGTGTTTCTTAACCTGCGAGGCAGCCTTAGTGTAGGACTCCAGTTGGTGCTTGTGAGACGATAAGAATTTCTTTTGCTCACTCTGCCGGCGCCAGGGAGTGAAACAGATCGACTGATTAGATGAACAGTAGGCTACCTGCTTAGCTGTCTTATGCATTGACTGGCCCAAACTGACTGATAAAGTAGGCTACCTGCTTGGTTGTTTATGGTTGCTCTAGTTGATTGACCGGATTTAATTTAGTCCGATTTGGCTGATTAAATTATTTGACTGATTTGGATGATGCAGCTGAGTGATTTGGTCGACTTTTAGCTGACTTACTGACCGATTAATTTTTTAAGAAATCGATCAAAATAGAGAAATGAAAACTGTAGTTCTGTAGTTGCTTGAATGTTAATTAATTGAACACCTGCTAAATGACTGGCTGATTAACTGAACAAGCGCTTGACTGATTAAATACCAGAACAAGTGTTTGAGTAATTAATACCACAGTTGCTGGATTGACTAATTAATCTAACAAATGGTTCTCTCTCTCTCTCTTCTCTCTCTCTTTCTCTCTCTCTCTCTCTCTCTCTCTCTCTCTCTCCTCTCTCTCTCTCTCTCTCTCTCTCTCTCTCTCACCTGCAGGACCTTGGTATCCTTGTCAAGGTTGGTCTCTAGCGGCACTAAGAGGTCGACGTAGAAAGCTTTGAGCTGCAGTTTGAGAGAGGAACAGGTGAGTAATATACACACAGATAAACATGATACAAAGATACTGGTACATTGTATATGTATGTGTCTATACGTGTGGACAGACACATATTGTAAAATTGATTCTGTGTGTTGACAGCAAATGTATCACTGTGTGTGTGTGTGTGTGTGTGTGTGTGTGTGTGTGTGTGTGTGTGTGTGTGTGTGTGTGTTGCAATATATGTACCACTCCACACTTGTCACATTACACAGTGATCTGTGTTGAGGGGGAGGGATGTGGAGGGGGTGGATCTGTGTGTTGAGAGGAGATATCTATGTTATGAGGTTGACAGGAGTCTCTTCACGTTGCGAAAGGCCCCAGATCCTGCCATCTCAAGGACCTCCCACCTCCTGACCCTGCTGATATCCTACCTTAGATCCTTCCATTTCAAGGACCTCTCAATTCTTGACAGTGCAGGTATCCTGCCTCAGATCCTTCCATTTCAAGGACCTCTCAACTCCTGACGGCGCACGTATCCTGCATCAGATCCTTCCATTTCAAGGACCTCTCAACTCCTGACGGCGCACGTATCCTGCATCAGATCCTTCCATTTCAAGGACCTCTCAACTCCTGACGGCGCACGTATCCTGCCTCAAATCCTTCCATTTCAAGGGCCTCTCAACTCCTGCCGATGCAGGAATGCTGCTCCCTAACCTACTAACCACAACTTCAAAACTGATTACCCATATAGTGGAGCAGTGCTCAACGTTACGACCTTCTGAGTGCCACCTCTGAATACTTTCTGTAAATCCTCAAGTTTCCCTGCCAAGTGTCAGTTATATCTGACGGATATTGCAGACAGTAAGTCAGGTCCCCTTGGACAGTGTCTCGTCTCCTGCTCTTCCTCCTGTCACATTTGTCTAGTCCATTCCCCTCCTCTGTTTCACCCTTTCCTTTGTTCCATACGGCCTTTGTTTCCCCTTCCTGTGTCCCATTCCCGTCGCCCCCCATATCCTCCCCTTTACCCCCATATCCTCCCCCCCCCCCTTTATCCTTACCACATTCTCCCAATTGATCTTATTGACTCTCTCCTGTTATCTTCCTTATAAAACTTTAGACTACAACAACACCCATCTTCCTTTTTACCTCTCTTCCCTTCTCGGTTCTCTCTCTCTCTCTCTCTCTCTCTCTCTCTCTCTCTCTCTCTCTCTTTTACACAGGGTTTGACAAGGTTAAGGATCCCTAGCTTTATTGACAAGCTATTTACAGGTTAAGCATTCCTAACTTTATTGGCAAGCTAAGAGCTGTTACCTACATCAGCTCATTTGAAAGCATTTTTATTGTTATGAGACATACAAGTAGGGAACAGGATGAAATTGGAGCCATCTGTGGGCCAGCATTTTCATTTGATCAACTGACTTTATCTCGTTGACATCATTATGCTGTACGAATGTGTTCCATACTCGAGTCATCATGGGCATATATGATCTCAGATGGAGTGATGTTCTGGAGAAGGGTACAGCCAGAGTGAAGTTGCTGCTTTCTGCCCATCTTGTGCATAAAAGCTTGTTTCACGCTGTCCTCGAAGTGGATCCAAATGTGTAAATTTGACAATATTGGCCTTGTACATAACAGTAAGGCCACCCACATCCCTCCTGTGTTGAAGGCTCGGCTGAAATGACAGATCTATCCAGGATGGGTCCAGGCAAGAGATGAGACGTCTTACTCTGTTCTCTACTCTGTCAAGCAGTCGCAGATGAGAGGGGGGGGGCAGGCAAACCAAGA